AGCGGCAGTCTCGAACACTAAAGCTGAAGGAGTCAAAGCACAGTTGGAACCTTTACAAATGTATGTATGTACATGTGGATCAGCCCCAGGATAATCCCTAACTGAAAGACACTGACAGAGGGTAGCTGCCGCATTACGCCCGACAGAATCTTTAATTGTAGTGTTTGCTTGTCTCTGAAGTCGATCCTACTTTTAAAGCTTCATCCTTAACGCTCTCATCATCGTTTTGTAGTATATATATTGATCTATTAAAATAATATGTTACCCGTGGCCATCCGTCATTATAATCCGAGCATAAAACCCTAAAGTGTTCGTGTAAGTCATAATTCGATCTACATAGTGGAAGGAACAAGGAATAAAGTTTATAGTGGGTTTAATAGGAATCGTAAAGTTTTCGCTGTCTACATCCCCCTTGATCAAGTTGGGCATAAAAATTACACCAAGCATTTTTAGCTAGCACGATGGCCGCTTTATTCCTGATTCTCGCCTGATGACATTGTCTTTATGACGCGCAGCGAAACACAACCACAAAGTCCCCATACAACCTACGCTGCCAATATGTGCGTTGTTGTGTGAGTGTGTGTGTGGTGTGCTGGTGGGTGGTACAACTTTGTTGGGGGATTAGCTGGGTTTGTTTGATTTGAATTCTGATTATGATCATATACCATATGCCCATCCTCAATAACAAAATCACTCGATAAAGTTCTCCTGTCTCCTGTTTGTCTGTCAATCTACTGTCTGATAATAACAGGCGGTGGCAAACGCTGTCTGTCTAAGATACATACATACATAGATCTATGCCGTGATTCAAATACCTTAAGGTACGTGAACATTTATGGGAATATCCTGTTTGCGAATAATGATGGTTGGTTCTTTTTCCTTTCATGGAAAATGTTTTCTACGACGCTTCACAATCGGGGCGAATTCTCTCTGTTTTATAGAGAGTTTATAAGAAATATAGGCTGTATTCGCACAACAGTGAAGCAGCCTGGCGTGTGCCTTTCGTCGCAAATATGGCCGCTCACTTATGGGCACATTTCTTTTACAGCGAATCAACGCCAATTTATTCACATAAATTGGATTACAGGATTAACTACAGTGTGCAGTGTGTCATATAATAGCCCATGTGGCCCATGTGCACAATGCCCATTGGTGAGGGGCAAGGGAATAACTATACATTAGCGGCTCGTTGCCCAAATCGTTGCACTGTATGATTTTTGCCCTTTGTAGGGGCGGAAAGGTGCGGGGATAAATTTTTAAATACACTTATCACGTATCAGTGTGAGCGAACAAAAGTTTGGATACTAAACTTGGTTTCCCCATCGTATGGTCTCTGAGTACTAAGCGCTCATAAGGACGGACAGACGGACATAAGTGTACGATTGTACACGAATTAAATTGTTTCAAGTCTCGCGAAAAACAAAAAAATCCGTTCAAACTTCATATAAAAACGAGAAGGGACGTGTGAGACGCTTCTTACGCGTCACAACTTTTATAGCCGGCACTCAGTACTACATCTGTACCAGAGGCAGAGGGACGGCAGAGGCAGAGGCCGCATAATGCAGAAGCAGAGTGTGAATGAGAGAATGTGCAAAAAACAAATAAAAGCTGCGGGACGGGGTGGGCTTAGACACTGAAAATTAAATTTTTTCATTGTGGCTATAATAATGATCCAATCAGATCCCAATTTGATGATCTGATAGATGTGGGCATTCCCTACGGAATGTCGTTTTTAGTTTTCTTCTATCTTTAAACTGTAGGTTTGGGAGGTTTTCGCCCTTTTGCGGAGGCGCAAGAGGGCGGGGCTAATTTTTGAAATACACTGGTTTCAGTGTGAGCATACAGCAGTCTGGAGCCAAAATTTGGTGGATCTAGCTCTTATAGTCTCTGAGAACTAGCCGACAAACGGAATCGTCGGAAACGTTTCCTTCTGTGCGTTACATACAACCGTTATTCGCCCCATATTTACTCTTCGAGTACCGGGTATAAAAACTGAACCAGAAAATTGTCATTTGTTGGGTATCCAGCAACGCACTATGGGTAAAAAGCCCGAATTTTTGGCATTAATGCAATTTTTTTGGTAAAATATTTGAATGGGATTTAAATTTTCTGATTGATGAATATCGAGATAGAATAAAACTGGTTTTAGAAGATTTTGACGGAGTACCATACATTTTTTGCGCACTTTTAAAGTCGGTAGATTTTGAGACGCTTCGACTTGTGAAAAGTGCGTTTAACCTTGAGCAACTTGCAGCTTTAATTGTAGCTCGATTTCAAAGTTTAAACGAAAGTAAATATATGGAAATTATAGGCATTTCAATTAATTGCCAATACCTGTTTTTTGATAGTTGTGTGTAGTTTTTTAATAGTCCAATGTTTTGTTCGTGTAATTTTTATACCCGGTACTCGAAGAGTAAATAGGGTATATTGTATTTGTGTGGAATAACGGTTGTATGTAACGCGCAGAAGGAAGCGTTTCCGACGCCATAAAGTATATATATTCTTGATCAGCATCAATAGCCGAGTCGATAGAGCCATGTCTGTCTGTCCGTCTGTCCGTCTTGTTTGTCGGCTAGTTCCCAGAGACTAAAAGAGCTAGAGCCACCAAATGTTGGCTCTAGACTGCTGTATGCTCACACTGTTACAAGTGTATTTCAAAAATGAGACCCTGCAAAAGGGCGAAAGCCTCCCAAATCTACAATTTTGAAGATAAAAGAAAAATAAATTCCGAAGGGAATGGCCATATCTATTAGATCACCAAATTTTGTAATAGCCACAATTAAGAAATTAATTTCCAGTGGCTAAACCCACCCTGTCCCGCAGCTTTTGTTGTTTTTTTTACATTCTCTCATTCAAAGGACCTGTGAGACACTTCTTACGCGTCACAACCTTTATACCCGGCACTTAGTACTACATCTGTACCTTAGCGGTTTTTTTTGTCAAATCTTTCATATTTTCCTTATCTGTCATGTATATCTACAACACTTCTCACACCAACACGCTTCTTTAGCTCGCCCCCTTCCCTAGACCCACACACTGCAGACTCACGGTAGAGGCAGAGACGCGGCAGAGGCAGCGGACGCACACACACACACGCGAGAATGCACAATGAGAGAATGCGATCTGATAGATATGGTCTCTCCTTACGGAATGGTGTTTTTAGCGTCTTCAAAATTGTAGCTTCGGGAGGTTTTCGCTCTTTTTCGGGGTCGGTAGGGGGCTGGGCTAATTTTTGAAATACACTTGTAACAGTGTGAGCATACAGAAGTCTGGATGCAAAATTTTGTGGCCCTAGCTGCGTTGCATACATTGTGCACAAATACAATATACCCTGTTTACTCTTCGAGTACATGGTATAAAAACCATTTCTGAAGACCCGGGACAAGAGGTGGCAGATGAGGGGTGTGCTGCAGTTGCAATTTACCCCAAAGGGCAGAACAAAAACTGAATTGTTCTTGGTTAAATTTTTTAAAGAATTTAATTGTGTCATGCAAATAGTTGAGAAAAATTATTTGGCAAAGCATACAAATAATTGAGGGAATGTTCTTTGACTTGATTTCTTCTTCACTGAATGGTCAACTCCTTTCTTTTGCTCTTTTTATGAATTCCTTATCAAATCCTTGTCCATGGCCTCGAGCTCCTCTGCAGTGGCACAGCACTTCCAGGGCTCTTTCACACAAAACTGATAGATAGTCTCATTGAAATATTTCTCACCCGGCAGTATGATGATGGTGGGAAACATTGTCTGATTGCAAGCATCGGGAAAGCCCATAAACTGCAGCGCATAGCCGCTGTTCTGCCAATATCTTGTACACTTCTTGCCCATAATGGGATCCTCGCCATGCGTTTGCTTTGGTAACTGATTAGCCGTGGAGAAGTGAAGAGCCGGCTGATTGCTGTAGATATCCATGTAGCGTCCAGTCGGATTGTGCAGGAAGCGTCCTAGGTATCGGGTGTCCAGACTTGTGACATCCTTGGACAAGGCATAGTTCACGTGAAAGCCGGGCACAGGCATATCCTTGAACTGACGCAAACGATCGCCCATAAAGGCGGGCTGACGAATGTCATAGACTGAGTTCTTGACAGACCCGCAGCGGCCCGTGGGCAGAACACCCTTATCCGTGGTGTTCGTTTCGATTGTCTTTCTGCCCTCCATGTAGAAGCGATGCTCAAAGAGACCCTCAACGCCGGCCTTGTGACCCGCCAGATTGAAGTACGTGTGATTGCAAATGTCCACGGGCGTTGTCTTATTTGATTTGGCCTCGATGCGGATAAACAGGCGACTCTCGTCGTCAATGGTAAAATGAATCATGACGGCTAGGCGGCCGGGAAAGCCCTCGTGTCCCGCTTTCGAGACATGTCTTAGCGTGATTCCATCCGCACGCATCAAATGCAAGTCCCAGATGACTTTATCGAAACCAATAAACCCCCCATCGCTGTGATGCCTCTGATCGAGATTCTTCGACACAATCACACGATGCTCGTCCAAAATGAACTCTCCATTGCTGACCAGCCCTGCCACACGACCCAAAGTGCAACCAAATTTCAAATCCTGATGTTTGAGATAACCCGCAACATCATCAAAGCCCAGGACCACATCGGCCGTCTCCTGGAAGGCATCGGGCACTCGAATATTCTGTATTGTGGCGCCCAATGTGATGATGCCCACGGACATGTGGTTCGAATTCGTTATGGTATAGCGACGTATTACTTGAGCCATTTTCGTAAGCGGATTTGTAGCAATGCCAAAAATATCCTCAACCACTTGAACCATGATTTTAATCGAAACGTTTCCCATATACATTTTTGATATCCGAATTTTGATATTTCAATATTTACTTGAATTTAATTTGTTTTTTGAATGAAGATTCAAGTCTATGCATGACAAGCTCACTCCCAATCATACGAAAAGACTCACGAATTTTCGAAATGAAAAAAGTTTCTAAAAATTTAGCTACGAATGATAGTGGAACAAATTTATTTTTTCATTCATCTTTTCCTTATTTAAAAAGTAAGGACTTTGNATCCGCACGCATCAAATGCAAGTCCCAGATGACTTTATCGAAACCAATAAACCCCCCATCGCTGTGATGCCTCTGATCGAGATTCTTCGACACAATCACACGATGCTCGTCCAAAATGAACTCTCCATTGCTGACCAGCCCTGCCACACGACCCAAAGTGCAACCAAATTTCAAATCCTGATGTTTGAGATAACCCGCAACATCATCAAAGCCCAGGACCACATCGGCCGTCTCCTGGAAGGCATCGGGCACTCGAATATTCTGTATTGTGGCGCCCAATGTGATGATGCCCACGGACATGTGGTTCGAATTCGTTATGGTATAGCGACGTATTACTTGAGCCATTTTCGTAAGCGGATTTGTAGCAATGCCAAAAATATCCTCAACCACTTGAACCATGATTTTAATCGAAACGTTTCCCATATAAATTTTTGAAATCCGAATTTTGATATTTCAATATTTAGTTGAATTTAATTTGTTTTTTGAATGAAGATTCAAGTCTATGCATGACAAGCTCACTCCCAATCATACGAAAAGACTCACGAATTTTCGAAATGAAAAAAGTTTCTAAAAATTTAGCTACGAATGATAGTGGAACAAATTTATTTTTTCATTCATCTTTTCCTTATTTAAAAAGTAAGGACTTTGATAAATTGATAACAAAGGGGAGGAAAGACTAAAATGTTAACCTAATTTGGAAGTTTTTTTTCTCTCCTGATCAGAATTTTACAGGGATCGCATGGGGATAGCTTTTACGTAAAGAATATGAGTCCGGTCAACAATTTGAAGAAGTTAAACCATTACATAATCAGACAGGCCTGCAGCGAGGTTTAATTGAACCCTTTGAAATCTCGTTTATATTAATGTCCTGAAGGACATTACCAAGCAATTCCAAAAAAGTTTTCCACAAACATTATTAGTTAGGCTACATCATAAAAACAAAATATTTATTACAAAGCTTTTGAAAGATTTTGCCTAATGTTCATTATTGAGTCTATTTGAGTAATCGTTTAAACGGGCCCTATTTTTGGGGTATTAAGACAAAATAATTAATAAAAAAAACCTTTTAACTTAGAAGTCAAACTCTTTATTTTTTAAATAAGGAAAGAATCTTGATTAATGGAAAAATAAATTTGCTCCACTATCATTCGTTGCTGAATTTTTCGAAACTTGTTTCTTTTTGAAAACTCGTGAGTATATTCGTCTGATTGGGAGTGTATACACAGAGATGAGATCTCAAATGAAATATCACTACTCTGCTCATTTATTATTGGTTGTATTATAGTTTGCATTGCATATTGAAACCTTTTGAAAGGTTAAATTCTTGAGACATACTTGTATCAGTCATTCCAATGGCAGACTTCGTTTGCCTCTGAACTTGAGCGTAATTCCGTATTACCATTACACCAAATAAAAAATGATTTATTAAATGCATAAATCATTGTAATTGAATTATCGTCCAATCTATAGATGTTGATGGCACTCATCAGGGGTTGACTCCCTCTTCGTATCTCTCAGCAGCAAATTTGTTGAGTGCGTGCCACCTGTAGGTACTACCATTGAAAGTGGACTTGCGTCGGAGTCGAGTGTGGAGTTGAGTGGAGTTATCTTATCGCCAGGCTCCACAAATAAGTAGCGGGGGATCTATGTTTGATTTATGAGTAAACGAGTGTCCCAGAAACTGAGAACCCCTATCAAAGCAAAAACAAAAGAAAAAAAAAACTTAAGAAAAAAAAACGAGAAGGGACGTGTGAGACGCTTCTCAAGTCACAACTTTTATACCCGGTACTCAGTACTTCATTTGTAACTTAGCGGTTTTTTTTCTTCAGATTTTACATATTTTCTTTATCTGTCATCTACATCTGCTCACTTCTCATGCCAACACGCTCTTTTAGCTCGTCCCCCTCCCATAGAGCGGAACACTGCGCGAAGCAGTGTGTGAATGAGAGAATTTGCAAAAATAAATAAAACTACTGGACGGGGTGGGTTTAGCCACTGCAAATTAATTGTTTCATTCATTTCTTCTGTCGTCCCTCTGCCTCTGCCTCTGCCGACTTTTAACCCACCCCGTCCCGCAGCTTATATTTGTTTTTTTTTTTATGTGCGGGCGCTGCCTCTGCCGCGAGTCTACAGTGTGTGGGTCTAGGGAAGGGCGGCGAGCTAAAGGAACGTGTTGGTGTCAGAAGTGTTGTAGATGTAGATGACAGATCAAGAAAAAATTTAAAATTTGACAAAACACCGCTAAGGTGCAGATGTAGTACTGAGTGCCGGGTATAAAAGTTGTGACGCGTAAGAAGCGTCTCACGCGTCCCTTCTCGTTTGTGTTTTTTTACCTTCAAATTGTGGATACCGTAGTTTTTCGCCCTTTGGGAACAAAATTTTTAAAATACACTTGTAACAGTGTGAGCATGCAGCCATCTGGATGCAAAATTTGGTGGCTCTAGCTTCTATAGTCTCTGAGATCCAGGCGCTCAGCAAGACGGACGGACGGACGGGCAGACAGTCATGGCTACTGATGCTGATCAAAAATATATATGCTTTATGGGGTCGGAAACGTTTCCTTCTCTGCGTTACATACTACATACATCCATTTTGTGCACAAATACAATAGTATTTACCGGGTATAGTACCGGGTATAATAAAAATCTTTGGACTCTTGGGGGTATAATTATTCAGGCAAAAAGCGCGCCATGAATATCATCATTTATAATGGTATAATTGCCATTTTATATACATAGGTATTATTGGTAGAATATTGGAATAGTTTGTGGGAATTTTATGTCTTCACTCTCATTTTTTAGAGAAGCCATAAAAGCTTGGGTTTCGGTGCCGCGAATGCTTATAGAATTTAAAATATTAATTGAAATATAACCCAAAATGTTCCTAAAGGTGCCACTAATTCTTCTCTTTAACCAGCAGCTGCTTGACTTTTAGACTGGATAATGCCTGGCTCTGATGGCCGTGTAATGGCTGGTTCTCTCTCTATTTTTAATAGAGAAAGTTACCTCACCTTGAACCTGCCACTGAAGGGGTGACCATATCAAGGCTCATTGGCCACACGGCAAACGGGGTGCAAAATCAATGCAAAATCATAAGCCCATTCCCAATAGTCATTGTTCGTTTGGGGCCAAAGTTCATATCGAAGGTCAATGCAATGGCTTTTATGGCATTTTAAATTGTTAGTTAATTTACCTTTGATATTTCGCTTGTGCTTCCACAAAACTGCTACCCCAATCTGATAAGGAAAGACAATTCGAAAAGAAAATGCATTTAAGGCAGGGTGGATAAGGCTAAATAATGATACATATGTGCACCATGCTCTTTGCTTTAATGTACTTTGATTTTATTTTTCCATTCGTTTAGGGAATTTTGGAAAGAAAATTATTTTTTCGTCATAGATTTTCAAGTGTAAAAGGTTTCACCATAATTAGCTTTAAAAGCTGTAGTTATACCCGGTAGTCGAAGATCAAATAGGGTAATATGTATTTTTGGGGAAAAAATGTAACACAATGAAGGAAGTGTTTCCGACCCCACAAAGTATATACATATATTCTTGATCAGCATCAATAGCCGAGTCGATTGAGCCATGTCTGTCTGTCCGTCCTTAATAGCGCCTCGTACTCAGAAACCATAAAAGATAGGGCAACCAAGTTTTGCATCCAGACTTCTGTATGCTCACACAATTACACACACTCCACAATTTTAAAGATAAAAGAAAACTAAAAATGCCATTTTGTAGGGAATGTCAATATATTTTTTTTTCTTGCACATTCTCTCATTTCACCCTCTGCTTCGTGCAGCGTGCGGCTCTAGGGAAGGGGGACGAGCTAAAATAGAGTGATGGCGTGAGAGGTGATGTAGATGTATATGAAATATGTAGAACAAAATTACAAAAGTAAAATGCAAAATTTGAAAAAACCACCAAGGTACAGATGTACTTCTGAGTACCGGGTATAAACTTGTGACTCGTAAGAAGCGTCTCACACGTCCCTTCTCGTTATAATTATCGTTTAGTGGCATTGATATCAGACTGCGTTCTTTTTTGTTGTTGTGTGTTTTGCGCAGTCTAATTAATTTATCAATAACCATAGCTTACACTTTCATTTATTGTTCATACGTGGTCGGTCTATTGGCGGCTGAGAGTTTATTAAAGCAAAGAGAGAGTGAGAGCGCTTTCCACTGGATCTATAAAAATTGCAATAGCAAACGGAAACATGTGCAAATGTATCCCCCAAATATTGAATGTTGCTTTTATACCCGGTACTCGAAGTGTAAATACCTGTCGGACCTGTCCCCGCAGCGGTTTTCGGCGGCGGGCGAACTCAGTCTCCTCCCGCGTCTTCTCATTACCTCGTTTCCCAGGCGTCGATTGAGAGGGATTGGCTTGTCCCTATGGCACTTTAAGAGGAGTACCGAGCTCCTTTGCCGTTATATTTTGTATATTTAAGTTACTTGACATTTTTGGTCCCACGAGTAGGCGGGAAGGGGTTGGTCGCCCGAGCCCGAGCTTGCTCCCGGAAGCCCAGTTTAAACTGGAGGTCTTCCGGTGTCCAGAGTCCGCATACTAGCGCCCGAGCACCCCTTCGGCCATGCATCCATCGGCATGTAACAGTGTCACCTTGGATTGGGTCAATTTCACGAGAGTTTTCTTCTCTCCGCCCGACTACCATTAGCCAGCATGCTTGGCAGAGACTTGACCGTACCAGGACCTGTTACCAGCCACCTCACTGGCAGTTACGGCAGGTGGCGTATCGCTCGTGATCCCCCTGTATCCTAGCTCAGTCACAAGGTCCCTGGGCCAGGCCTACTTCCCTGGGAAGCCCCGGAAAAACCCTTGCCGCCAAGCCGAGCTTACAGTTTTTGGCGAGCCATCCCGCCACCCGTTAGTCCCCTGTATCACCCGAATGGCTGAACTAATCGAACTAAATTTAATTTAAATATCTCTCTTAATTTTCAAATTATTGTGTACCCAAGTGTTTTTTTTATTTAAAAAAGGTAAAAAGGTAAAAACACCCTTCCTAAACCTTCGATTTTAGATTTAGAACTTTTTAATTTCATATGTTCACATCCTTTATCATTTTTATACCCGGTACTCGAACAGTAAATAGGGTATATTGTATTTGTGCACAAAGTGGATGTATGTAACACACAGACGGAGACGTTTCCGACCCCATTATGTATATATATTCTTGATCAGCATCAATAGCCGAGTCGATATAGCCATGTCTGTCTGTCCGTCCGTATTGTTGAGCGCCTGGATCTCAGAGACTATATAAGCTAGAGCCGCCAAATAAGTGTGTGTGTAAGTATAAGTGTGTTTCAAAAATGAGCCCCGCCCCCGCAAAAGGGCGAAAACCTCCCAAACCTACAATTTTGAAGATAAAAGAAAACTAACGCCA